GTAGTAACTACCACACACAGCATGGTATGTAGTAACTACCACATACACAGCATGGTATGTAGTAACGATCACACACAGCATGGTATGTATTAACTACCACACACAGCATGGTATGTAGTAACTACCACACACAGCATGGTATGTAGTAACTACCACACACAGCATGGTATGTAGTAACTACCACAAACAGCATGGTATGTAGTAACTACCACACACAGCATGGTATGTAGTAACTACCACACACAGCATGGTATGTAGTAACTACCCCACAAACAGCATGGTATGTAGTAACTACCACACACAGCATGGTATGTAGTAACTACCACACACACACACAGCATGGTATGTAGTAACTACCACACACAGCATGGTATGTAGTAACTACCACAAACAGCATGGTATGTAGTAACTACCACACACAGAATGGTATGTAGTAACTACCACACACAGCATGGTATGTAGTAACTACCACACACAGCATGGTATGTAATAACTACCACACACACACACACAGCATGGTATGTAGTAACTACCACACACAGCATGGTATGTAGTAACTACCACACACAGCATGGTATGTAGTAACTACCACACACAGCATGGTATGTAGTAACTACCACAAACAGCATGGTATGTAGTAACTACCACACACAGAATGGTATGTAGTAACTACCACACACACAGCATGGTATGTAGTAACTACCACACACAGAATGGTATGTAGTAACTACCACACACAGCATGGTATGTAGTAACTACCACACACAGCATGGCATGTAGTAACTACCACACACACAGCATGGTATGTAGTAACTACCACACACACACACATCATGGTATGTAGTAACTACCACACACAGCATGGTATGTAGTAACTACCACACACAGCATGGCATGTAGTAACTACCACACACAGCATGGTATGTAGTAACTACCACACACAGCATGGTATGTAGTAACTACCACACACACAGCATGGTATGTAGTAACTACCACACACAGCATGGTATGTAAATAACTACCACACACAGCATGGTATGTAGTAACTACCACAAAACAGCATGGTATGTAGTAACTACCACACACACACACAGCATGGTATGTAGTAACTACCACACACAGCATGGTATGTAGTAACTACCACACACAGCATGGTATGTAGTAACTACCACACACAGCATGGTATGTAGTAACTACCACACACACACACAGCATGGTATGTAGTAACTACCACACACAGCATGGTATGTAGTAACTACCACACACACAGCATGGTATGTAGTAACTACCACACACAGCATGTTATGTAGTAACTACCACACACAGCATGGTATGTAGTAACTACCACACACAGCATGGTATGTAGTAACTACCACACACAGCATGGTATGTAGTAACTACCACACACACACACAGCATGGTATGTAGTAACTACCACACACAGCATGGTATGTAGTAACTACCACACACAGCATGGTATGTAGTAACTACCACACACAGCATGGTATGTAGTAACTACCACACACAGCATGGTATGTAGTAACTACCACACACACACACAGCATGGTATGTAGTAACTACCACACACAGCATGGTATGAGTAAACTACACACACACACACAGCAGGTATGTAGTAACTACCACACACAGCATGGTATGTATAACTACCACACACACAGCATGGTATGTAGTAACTACCACACACAGCATGTTATGTAGTAACTACCACACACAGCATGGTATGTAGTAACTACCACACACACAGCATGGTATGTAGTAACTACCACACACACACAGCATGGTATGTAGTAACTACCACACACAGCATGGTATGTAGTAACTACCACACACACATCATGGTATGTAGTAACTACCACACACACACACAGCATGGTATGTAGTAACTACCACACACAGCATTGTATGTAGTAACTACCACACACAGCATGGTATGTAGTAACTACCACACACAGAATGGTATGTAGTAACTACCACACACAGAATGGTATGTAGTAACTACCACACACAGCGTGGTATGTAGTAACTACCACACACAGAATGGTATGTAGTAACTACCACACACAGCATGGTATGTAGTAACTACCACACACAGAATGGTATGTAGTAACTACCACACACAGCGTGGTATGTAGTAACTACCACACACAGCATGGTATGTAGTAACTACCACACACCAGAATGGTATGTAGTAAACTACCACCCATACAATGCGTGGTATGTAGTAACTACCACACACAGCATGGTATGTAGTAACTACCACACACAGAATGGTATGTAGTAACTACCACATACAGCGTGGTATGTAGTAACTACCACACACAGCATGGTATGTAGTAACTACCACACACAGCATGGTATGTAGTAACTACCACACACAGCATGGTATGTAGTAACTACCACACACAGCATGGTATGTAGTAACTACCACACACACAGCATGGTATGTAGTAACTACCACACACAGCATGGTATGTAGTAACTACCACACACAGAATGGTATGTAGTAACTACCACACACAGCATGGTATGTAGTAACTACCACACACAGCATGGTATGTAGTAACTACCACACACAGCGTGGTATGTAGTAACTACCACAAACAGCATGGGATGTAGTAACTACACACACAGAATGGTATGTTTGTAACTACCACACACAGCAGGTATGTAGTAACTACCACACACAGAATGGTATGTAGTAACTACCACACACAGAATGGTATGTAGTAACTACCACACACAGCGTGGTATGTAGTAACTACCACACACAGCATGGTATGTAGTAACTACCACACACACACAGCATGGTATGTAGTAACTACCACACACACAGCATGGTATGTAGTAACTACCACACACAGCATGGTATGTAGTAACTACCACACACACACAGCATGGTATGTAGTAACTACCAACACACACAGCATGGTATGTAGTAACTACCACACACACACACAGCATGGTATGTAGTAACTACCACACACAGCATGGTATGTAGTAACTACCACACACACAGCATGGTATGTAGTAACTACCACACACAGCATGGTATGTAGTAACTACCACACACACAGCATGGTATGTAGTAACTACCACACACAGCATGGTATGTAGTAACTACCACACACAGCATGGTATGTAGTAACTACCACACACACAGCATGGTATGTAGTAACTACCACACACAGCATGGTATGTAGTAACTACCACACACATAGCATGGTATGTAGTAACTACCACACACACACACAGCATGGTATGTAGTAACTACCACACACAGCATGGTATGTAGTAACTACCACACACACAGCATGGTATGTAGTAACTACCACACACAGCATGGTATGTAGTAACTACCACACACACACAGCATGGTATGTAGTAACTACCACACACAGCATGGTATGTAGTAACTACCACACACAGCATGGTATGTAGTAACTACCACACACACACAGCATGGTATGTAGTAACTACCACACACAGCATGGCATGTAGTAACTACCACACAGAGCATGGTATGTAATAACTACCACACACAGTATGGTATGTAGTAACTACCACACACAGCATGGTATGTAGTAACTACCACACACAGCATGGTATGTAGTAACTACCACACACAGCATGGTATGTAGTAACTACCACACACAGCATGGTATGTAGTAACTACCACACACACACACAGCATGGTATGTAGTAACTACCACACACAGCATGGTATGTAGTAACTACCACACACAGCATGGTATGTAGTAACTACCACACACACACAGCATGGTATGTAGTAACTACCACACAAAGCATGGTATGTAGTAACTACCACACACACAGCATGGTATGTAGTAACTACCACACACACAGCATGGTATGTAGTAACTACCACACACACACAGCATGGTATGTAGTAACTACCACACACAGCATGGTATGTAGTAACTACCACACACAGCATGGTATGTAGTAACTACCACACACAGCATGGTATGTAGTAACTACCACACACACAGCATGGTATGTAGTAACTACCACACAAAGCATGGTATGTAGTAACTACCACACACACAGCATGGTATGTAGTAACTACCACACACACACACAGCATGGTATGTAGTAACTACCACACACACAGCATGGTATGTAGTAACTACCACACACACAGCATGGTATGTAGTAACTACCACACACAGCATGGTATGTAGTAACTACCACACACACACAGCATGGTATGTAGTAACTACCACACACACACAGCATGGTATGTAGTAACTACCACACACACAGCATGGTATGTAGTAACTACCACACACACACACAGCATGGTATGTAGTAACTACCACACACACATCATGGTATGTAGTAACTACCACACACACAGCATGGTATGTAGTAACTACCAACACACACAGCATGGTATGTAGTAACTACCACACACAGCATGGTATGTAGTAACTACCACACACAGCATGGTATGTAGTAACTACCACACACACACAGCATGGTATGTAGTAACTACCACACACACACAGCATGGTATGTAGTAACTACCACACACACACAGCATGGTATGTAGTAACTACCACACACACAGCATGGTATGTAGTAACTACCACACACAGCATGGTATGTAGTAACTACCACACACACACAGCATGGTATGTAGTAACTACCACACACACACAGCATGGTATGTAGTAACTACCACACACAGCATGGTATGTAGTAACTACCACACACACACAGCATGGTATGTAGTAACTACCACACACAGCATGGTATGTAGTAACTACCACACACACACAACATGGTATGTAGTAACTACCACACACACAGCATGGTATGTAGTAACTACCACACACACAGCATGGGTATGTGGTGACCACCACACACAACATGGGTATACAGGGTATCAACAACTCCGTTATACTATACGAGAATCACTTTGTGTCGGTAATCATGAAGATGTCAGTGGTACTTACTGAGAGATTTATGCTCAATGAAGGTCAGTATGGGGACATTCCACACTGGTCCTCTTAGAAAATTGACCAGACTATCCAACACCCAGGCATTATCCTCCTCCCCCATGGTTGTAGATATCTCTCACACACACCCTTAGTACCCAGGGGGCGATACCACGTCCCTCTGCACTTCCAAAGGGTCCAGGGAAAGGGAGACAGTAAGGGAGGTGGTTATTCCAAGGGGACGTCTAGTTGTGTTGAGCGCCCCTTTTGTGCACTGTTCTAATGGGTGTTTTGCCCACTTGCAGAGGGTGTGTGGGTGCAGTCACGTCACCTAAGGGTGCAGGTAGGTACGGAGTAGGTGCAGCCTCAGCAACAGGAGGTAGGTGAGTGAGGGCAAGCTTAGATTGACAATTTCAAGGCTAGGATTGCGACAGGGATTCTGCGCGCGTCTGGCGAACCTGTTCACGTGCTTGTCTCTGATTGGCTGAGAAATTCCCCTCTTACTATTATCATTACCAATAATGTATTGCATTATTAACGCTATTATAATAGTACTTTACTATTACTGAAATAGTGATTAAAATGGACTATAATGGTCATTTGTGGAGTAGTTGTGGTCGTAGTTCCAATGATGTGATTTTTGAAAAGCTGTTTAATAGGTGTTGAATGGGGAATTGGGGGTGTGATCGGGTTTGATCCGAGGTGTAGAAGAGCTGCTCTGTCTCCCTGGAAGAACTACTCTTCAACCCTGGATCAAGAGCAGTAAAAAATACCAATGTGAGCCTTGTGCATCTTGGGAAAAAAAAATTACGCATCCGACTCTCTTTAAGGTAAATCCGTAGCGGCTCTACTGGAAATACTTCCTTAAAGCTCATATTGATCCTCCTCTCATACCTCCTTGATCGTTTCTTGTGAGTTCTCCACCTTCTTTCCTCGCAGCCTTACACCTGATGGTCTTGATGTATTGTACTTCCTCCTAATGTGGCTATACAGCTAGTTTCGGGTCGACTTGGACTTTCGATGCTTGTCGTTTTCATACTGTCGCTGGGCCTCCATCTTATCTGTGCATACTCGTTTCTGGCTTTCTACTAATCTCTTGCTTTCCTGGGTCTTTGCCCTCCTGTACCTTTTCCATTCTCTGTTGCACTTAGTTTTTGCCTCCCTACACTTGGGTAAACCAAGGACTCGTTTTGCGTCTTCCTATTTTTTCTGTTTCCCTTGGGAAACACAAAACTATTCCTCTGCCGCCTGCACTTTGTTGCCACAGTATTTCCATCATCCGTTTACTGATTTTCCTACCATTTCTCTGACCCACTGAACTCCTGCAAGAAGTTTCTCATACCTGTGTTGTGGTGTGTGTGTGTGCTGGTTTGTGTGTGTGTGTGTGTGTTTGTGTGTGTGTGTGTGTGTGTGTGTGGTGTGTGTGTGTGTGTGTGTGTGTGTGTGTGTGTGTGATGTGTTGTTGTGTGTGTTCGATAGTGTGCTGTGTGTGTGTTGTGTGTGTGTATGTGTATGTGTGGTGTGTGCTTCCATGCAACGTGCAAAACTATGATTGACTCAAACGAGGGGAATGCAAGGCCTGGGTGGGCGGGTTCTCTGTCCCACTGAACCTCCGCAGGAAAGTTTCCTCATACATGTGTAGGTCCCCATTTTATAGTTTGGCTTTTCCTATTTTAATTCCTGTTTCCTTCTTATCTTGTTACTCTTACTATATAACTCAAAACTCAGAACCACGTGATCGCTAGCTACAAGGAGCCTCTCGTAAGTTATGTCCTCGATGTCTGAACTGCTCAGGTGTGAACACAAAGATCAAGTCTTGCTGGCTCTATCCTCCCTCTCTCTTGGTAGTGTCACTAGACATGTTGATGCTGAGGTTTTCCAGCACAACTCCATCATCTTGGCTCTCCATGTTTCGGGACCCCCATGTGGGCTCCGGTTTTCACAGTCGATCTCCCTGTGGTTGAATGACCATTACCAGTAACTTTGCTCTGCTCGAGTGAGCTCTTCTTGCCACCTCAGCAGTGAGTCACCATCGCCCTGTTGTTTTTTGTACTCCTCTCTTGGCCTTCCTGCAGTTCTGTGGTTGGGGGATTCACTCCAATGGAGTACTTTATGTTCTCCAGAGGATCGTACCTACTATGTAGTCCCTTTCTCAATCACAGTCCATGCCTTCCATTTCCTCAAATCCTCGTCGGATTTTTTTGGAGGCGTGCAAACCCTCTCTTCCCCTCTTACTCCTTCTATCTTTCTCAGGATTCTGATATCCCCGGTGGGAAGATTGCATCTGTTATTGTCCAGCGAGTTTTGTTTCTGTGGCTGCTATGATGTCTGGAGATTTTTCGCTGATTCTTTCGTGCCAATCCTCATGTTTCATTCGTTATTCCGTCCGCGTTTGTGTATTAACCTTAAGCTCTTTTCTAATCCACTGTGTCTGGGAGAATTATTGGGGTTTGCGGAGGGGAGTGAGAGGCCCTTGGTGGGCGGGCCTTTGGGGGCTGTGGTGTGGGTGGGGTTTGTGATGAGGAGGTGGGGGTCAGAATGCCCATAGGGGAAAGCTGTCTGGGGTGAGGTTTGTGTATGGTGGCGTTGGTGGCGAGGGAACAGTGTGTTGGGTTCTGGTTTAGATTGCTCCGTTGCGTTGGGATTGTTGCGGTTGGAGCTTCTTCTGTGCTGGAGTTTCTGTGGGGTTGTGTTTGCCCTTCTTCTGGTCTGGGTCATCCTGCTGATCTTTATCATTGCTCTCGTTCCTCCTGCGTCTCTGTACCTCTCTTTTCAGTGTAGTCCTTTCTTCTGGTGTTCTGTCGCGCGTCGAGGCATACTGTCTGGTACCCCTGTGTTTGTCCCTCAGTTCGTGCTTTCTCTGCAGGATCCTGGTTCCTGTGTGTAGTGTGTGTTTGTGTGTGTTGTGTGTGGTGTGTGTGTGTGTGTGTGTGTGTGTGTGTGGTGTGTGTGTGTATGGGTATGTGTGTGTGTGTGCTTCCAAGCAAACGTGCAAAACAATTGATTGACTAACGAGGGGGAATGCATGGTTCTGGGTGGTGGGTGAGTATGTGGGTGTGTGGGCGGCGTGGGTGGGTTAGGGTGGGTGATGGTGTGTAAATATTCATTTATTGATCAAGACCGTGTGTATCGCATCAAAACTCACACACCACACACACACACTCTGTACCACCGTGTACGTTAGGCACATTATTGGAGTATGCAGCACCACGTTTGGAACCAACACCTAGCAAGCATGTAAAGAAACTAGAGAAAAGTGCAAGGTTTGCAACAAGACTAGTCCCAGAGCTAAGAGGTATGTCCTACGAGGAGAGGTTAAAGGGAAAATTGACATTGGACGACACTGGAGGACAGAGTGATAGGGGGGACATGATACACCGGACATATAAAATACTGAGAGGAATTGACAAGGTGAGCAAAGACAGGATGTTCAAGAGATTGGACACAGTAACAAGGGGACACAGTTGCGGAGTTGAAAGACACAGATGTAATCACAGGGTTGTTAGGGAAGTATTTCTTCAGCAAGAGTAGTGGGAAGTGGAATAGTTTGGGAAGCGGATGTGAGGGAGACAGCGATCCATAATAGCTTTAAGTAGAGTATGATAAAGCTCACGTTGCAGGAGACGTGACCTAGTAGCGACTAGTGAAGAGCTGGGCCAGGAGACTTATGAATCGACCCCTGCAACCATCAGTTAGTGTGAGTACACATCCACAAACACAGAACATGATAATCAGATTGCGCTCTTTCCAACTGGTATAGTACTGAGAAAGATATCAAGGGATCATGGGGGGGAGGTGTGGCACTATTCATCAATACCTAGTGGGGTTTTGAGGAGTGGAAAGGATTATGAACAGATGGAACTGTAGGAAACACTTCAGGTGGGGGATCCCAAGTGGTGATTGCAGTGATGTTCAACCCACCACAGAATCGCAGAGAGGCCAAGACAATAATATGATTGGAAAACAACAGAACATCTGATGTGGCCAGAAGAACCGGGACACACATGGCCAGGGCATGAACTTAATATTTGGGGGTGATTTCAATCCACGAGTGAGATGATTGGGGGACCTGGAAGCACCAAATTGGAGGATCAGAAAAGTTGAGGGCTAAGATGATGAATCTGGTAATAGAAAAACCATGTATAAATATGTTAGGAACACTACAGAGAGAAAAGTGGAGACGTTGAACAGGAAAGACTGAACCCATAATGAAAGGATTGCAAAAGAGACAGTCCGAAGCTAAAGGATATGTCCTATGATGAGAGGTTAAGGGAAACATCCTGGATATACTGGGAGGACCGGAGGTATAGGGGGGGACATGTAACGACATATAAAATAATTGGAAGGAATTGGGAACAAGGTGGACAGGGGGACAGAATGTTTCGGAGATGGGACATAGCAATAAGGGGGGACAAACAACAAAGGGCGACACAAGAAACAAGGGACACAGAACAAGGGGACAAAACAACAAGGGGACACAACAACAAAGGGGGGACATAACAAGGGAACACAGCAACAGGAGGACACAAGGAACAAGGGGACATGGGACTAAGGGACACAGGAAAAAGGGGGACACCAGGAACAAAGGGGACAAAACAACAAGGGGACACAACAACCAAGGGACACAAACGACAAGGGGACACAACAAAAGGGGGACACAACAAACAAGGGGAACAGGAACAAGGGGACACAGGAACAGGGACACAACAAACAAGGGGGACACAACAAAAAGGGGAACAACAACAGGGGACACAACAACAAGGGGACACAGGAACAAGGGGGACACAACAACAAGGGGACACAAACAAACATGGGGACTAACAACAACAAGGGGGACACAAACAACAAGGGGACACAACAACCAAGGGGACACAATCAACAAGGGGACACCAACAACAAGGGGACACACAACAAAGGGGGACACAACAACAAGGGGACAAAACAAGGGGACACATCTACAAAAGGTCGTGCAACAAGGGGGTCGTACGAACAAGGGTGGTCGTAGCAACAAGGGGGTCGTAGGCAACAAGGGGGTCGTAGCATACAACGGGTCAAAACTGGAAGCGTGAAAGGACTCAGATGGAGTCTCAGGGATGTTAGGAAGTTGATGGATGGTTCAGAGAACCGACATGGTGATAAATTAGACACATGTGCAACTTCTTGGGTTTCTTTTTTGAGGAAACGTTTCGCCACACAGTGGCTTCATCAGTCCATACGTAGGAGTAACACTTGACGAACGGAGTGAATGAGGTAATCTGTCCCTCACCTTGAGAGTCGATGTTGAGGGACTGATTCCTCATTTCTCCTCTGTTTTCAAGTTTCTCCTACGTATGGATGTTGAAGCACCTGTGTGGCGAACGTTTCCTATATAAGATACACCAAGAGTTGCACATGTGTCTAATTTATCATCATGTTAGGAAGTATTTCTTC